ATACAATTTTTAGTGATAATTTATCAAATATTTACATAAATTCACAAAAATTAAAAAGTAACCATAGGATACCAGTGATTTAAAGACATGATGAACCCAAGTGTAAGCTTGAAGTTCACTACTATGGATTTCTTCATCACCCATGTGTAAGCTTCTACTCTTTAATGCAAATATATTTTTTTTTCAAACAAATCCACACTTAATTTTATTACTCNGTTTGATTGAATAAGTATTGTTTGAACGTTTACAAAAATTAACAAATAAGCATTTTTTTTTTTGAATTCCATTGTGAGTGAATACTTTTAGGTAGTGTTTGGAATGGCTTATTGAATTCAAAAGTACTTCTTAAATAATTACTTTTTAAAAAATATTTTATTAAAAAATACTTTCTTCCATAAGTACCGTTTGGATGCTCATTAAAAAAAGTACTTAAATAAAAATGATTTTACAAAAATTGTGTTTGGATGGTCAATTAAAAAAGTATTTATTTGTATCACAATTACAAATATACCCTTCATAATCAAATATATATGTGTGTGTTTGCGTGTATTTTGTTAAAAACGTCAATGATTATCCCATGATACAATTTTTAGTGATAATTTATCAAATATTTACATAAATTCACAAAAATTAAAAAGTAACCATAGGANACAAATATATATGTGTGTGTTTGCATGTATTTTGTTAAAAACGTCAATGATTATCCCATGATACAATTTTTAGTGATAATTTNGAATTCCATTGTGAGTGAATACTTTTAGGTAGTGTTTGGAATGGCTTATTGAATTCAAAAGTACTTCTTAAATAATTACTTTTTAAAAAATATTTTATTAAAAAATACTTTCTTCCATAAGTACCGTTTGGATGCTCATTAAAAAAAGTACTTAAATAAAAATGATTTTACAAAAATTGTGTTTGGATGGTCAATTAAAAAAGTATTTATTTGTATCACAATTACAAATATACCCTTCATAATCAAATATATATGTGTGTGTTTGCGTGTATTTTGTTAAAAACGTCAATGATTATCCCATGATACAATTTTTAGTGATAATTTATCAAATATTTACATAAATTCACAAAAATTAAAAAGTAACCATAGGATACCAGTGATTTAAAGACATGACGAACCCAAGTGTAAGCTTGAAGTTCACTACTATGGATTTCTTCATCACTCATGTGTAAGCTTCTACTCTTTAATGCAAATATATTTTTTTTTCAAACAAATCCACACTTAATTTTATTACTCAAATTATTTACAATGGAATAAACGGTAGACAGACCCTGCCGTAACAAGACTTTAACCCAAAATGAATAAAAGAAGTCAAGAGACTTTACAANTGAATTCCATTGTGAGTGAATACTTTTAGGTAGTGTTTGGAATGTCTTATTGAATTCAAAAGTATTTCTTAAATAATTACTTTTTAAAAAACATTTTATTAAAAAATACTTTCTTCCATAAGTACCGTTTGGATGCTCATTAAAAAAAGTACTTAAATAAAAATGATTTTACAAAAATTGTGTTTGGATGGTCAATTAAAAAAGTATTTATTTGTATCACAATTACAAATATACCCTTCATAATCAAATATATATGTGTGTGTTTGCATGTATTTTGTTAAAAACGTCAATGATTATCCCATGATACAATTTTTAGTGATAATTTATCAAATATTTACATAAATTCACAAAAATTAAAAAGTAACCATAGGATACCAGTGATTTAAAGACATGATGAACCCAAGTGTAAGCTTGAAGTTCACTACTATGGATTTCTTCATCACTCATGTGTAAGCTTCTACTCTTTAATGCAAATATATTTTTTTTTCAAACAAATCCACACTTTATTTTATTACTCAAATTATTTACAATGGAATAAACGGCAGACAGATCCTGCCGTAACAAGACTTTAACCCAAAATGAATAAAAGAAGTCAAGAGACTTTACAAAAGAATCAAAAAATAAGTCCCTCAAAATAGGTAGCCTGCTTGACTCGTGTTAACGAGACTGACCAACGAACATGACATTCAAAAACAAACAACACAAGACGTTAACGAAACTGACCAATGAACATTAAACACATACATAACCACAAACAAAATAAATTTGAGAAAAACAATAATAACATTAAACCCATCACTCCCTCCTTTGCTTTAGCTTTAATACCATGGGCTTGCAATCTCATAGCTGAACAGACATTCAAAAACACACTATGAGCAGTCATACTACCTTCCTCATGAATTCGTCTACATCTCTCCCTGCATAACAACCAAAAAACCACCAAAGACACTCCTCTCAACAAATTATGACTCAAGGAATGTCTCTTGAAAACCCTTACCAACCTCATCAATCTCACCATAGGAGTTTCAGAGCCAAAAAGTTGAAAACCACAAGCAGCAGCTACCATCCCCCAAACATCATTAGAAAATTTACACTGTACAAATAAATGCAACAGTCTCCTCAGCATGACAACATAAGGGACATCTACTAGCCAAAGATACCCCAATTCTCTGGAAATTAGACTCCACCACAACTGCATTCCCATGAATCTTCCATCCCACCAACTTCGCACTAGGGAAAACAAACTGGTTCCAAATGACAGAACCCACTTGATCACCATCAGCTGAAGATCTCACCAGCTGCCATGCAAATTTAATCGAAAACTCACCTGACTCTGTCAACTGCCATATCATTTTATCCTCCTTATCACATAGCTTAATTCCAAAATTCTGCACCCCCACTCTCACCTGGTCAGGGACCAACACTCCCAATTTCTGCCACTGCCATTCCCCCCCTTTCCCATATTTCAGATCAACTAGGGAATGATAAAGGAACCTCACCCACCCTATCCAACAAAGGACCAGAACCCAGCCAGTTAGAACACCAGAAATCCACTGACCTTCCACTACCCACCAAAACCTGAGAGTTACCCAATACAGACACAAAGAAAGGCTGCAACATGCGAAAAATTTTAGCTTTTCCATGTCCCACACATTTTAGCATACCATCCCTCCATCTTAGCCTTAAATTTCAGAACGACAGTCAAATCTCAGTTTTGTTTGCAATTTCTTTGTCCCCATAAAACAGAAAATATTTCCTTGACTTGGAACCAAACATATCCCTGAAATTTCTTTTGCATTATTTAGACCCAAATCTTAAACCCAATGTCACGTAGTGTGTATCATGTCAGTTACGATATTAACTCTTGAAAACCCCAAAACAACAGGCCAAATCTCGGAGCTTCATTTTGCTTTCCAATTCCTCTGTTTTCTCAACAAAATCCACACTTCCCCTTCACAGAAGTGGGAGCTCATTTTATCAAACACCTTACATGCATATTGATTCATAAATAATTCTTGAAAAAACCATTCATTCAATAATCACCTATCATAGTTTATTTGTATATCAAATTGTAATCCCAACCACTTAACCAAAATTAGGTGGTTCACTATCAAATTCAAAGAGCTTATGCACATACTTGTTACTACTGTTAATAACAACTCCATTTCATTGGCTGGAATCAAGAGCGCACCAAAAAATTACAAATACCTCTAAACAACACAAATTGACTGCCTTGGTTTGATAGAATGTGATCCTCCTCTGCTTTGATGATTTGATCGTTGAAGCAAAAAGAAAATCTGAAACCAAACATCATATTTCATTAACGATCGCTAAGAGAGAGGGAAGCTCCAGCATCGTTAATGGAATTCTTCGGTGCCGTCGAGATGATAGAAGAAAGTGTGGTCGGAGATAGTCGGCAGCGGCAGAGATCGAGAGATATCGAGGGGGAGGGAGGAAGAAGGTAAGTGTTTTAATTAACTTTTTAAAAAATTGATCCAACACTATTTTTTTTTAAAAGTATTTAGGATAAGTCAAAATATAAAAAAAAAACTCTTTTTTTTAAGTTATTCCAAACATAGTGATTATCAGTCAAAGCCAACAAATATTATTTTTCAAAAAATAATTTTGAATTTTGAATTTCAAAATGAACTAAATTGTTGATATGGTCAACTCCTCACCACTGCAAAAGAATTGACGAATTCTCTAATTATCTCAAAATTGGAATGAAGTCCAACATGTAAATTTTGGTACATTTGTCATCATATTTTCTACATATACACACACACACATTCAGGTGATGGAAAGTAATTTTTCAAAAAAATTTAAGGAAATCACGAGGTGTAATGTGATTAGAGTAACCGAATAAAAATATATTAAAATTTTAAGCATTTATAATATAAAAACATAACTTTTAATAAATTTATTTGACAGTCTAAAATAGATTCATCTAACGGCTATTAACATCTCTCTAAAAACTATTCACACTGCACAACACCTTCAAAGACGGATTACCCCTAGTTTTAAGATAAAAAAAAAATAATTAATAAAAGAGAATAAAATGCAAAATCCATGCATTACATGGGGCAACCGCTAGTCTTAAAATTTTCTTCCACATTTTTTTTTCCCATTAGTTGAGAAAACCTTTGATATTTGTTGGTTACTATAAACCATTGATTAGAGAAGTGCAATCTATTGGAGAGTTTTTAAGAATATTGCAATTAAATAAGAAAATATGCAAAAATTAAATAATAATAATATTATTTTAATTTAATTTATTAATATTATTTATTAACTTTAATTCATTACGATCATTGAAGTATTACCAAGGATTAAACGTAATGCAATTTTGGGTGACATCTACTTTTATTAAGACAACTTTTCCCTTAATCTAAACTAGGACTTTTGTTGTTACTTTCTTGAGAAAAATACAGGTTGCATTAATACACAAATCTAACTCAAAAAACATTAAAAAAAAAAAAAACCCTTCGTTAAGATCCTCTAATCTCAAACAAAAACCCTAGAAATACATAACCTTACAGAATGTACATGGATAATAATATCCTCTCATTATGTTAATTTTAATCAGATTTAATCATTTCACTATTGAAATTTGAAACTGAGAGGACCCCAATAATCCACTTTACAAAACCATCCATTTATTACCTCCTAGACCTTTTCTTCGGCCTTCTTGAAGACGCCTCCGCTTCACCACCGTCCCTCCGCCGCTTCCCTTGCATCGTCGTCGCCTCCTTACCTTTCTTTGGCGGCCGCCCAACACCTCGCTTCGACGGACTATTCTCCTCCTTCACTTTCTTCCCACTACCACCACCACGACCACCACCATTGCCACTTCTTCTCACCATTCCATCCTTCCGTTCATCCAATCTTTTCTTGATCTTCGGATCTCTCTTACCACCACCATTATTAGCATCTTGTCCAGAAGTACTCTTCAATGCCTCTGCCAACGTCGACCCCTTAGCCGGAGAATTCTTCTTTATCCTCTTCAAGAAGTCCGCCGCACCACGCTTTTTCGCCGTGCTGATCACTTCATCTCTTTTCTTCTCCGTTTTCAGATTCTCAATTTTCTCCACAGAACTGGGTTTTGAGCTAGAGTTCGTGTTTTGTTGATTACTGTTACTTGGTGTACTGTTTGGCCGGCCTTTACTGCTCCTCCTCATGCTTCTTGTACCCGTTACTGGCTTCTCCTTAACAACCCTCATTTTCACTGAACTCTCCTCTTCATTTGGAGTTGAAGAAGAAGATTTAACTTGTAGTTTTGCATTAGCAACAGGTTTCTCGTCAGCTACTTTTTTCTCCGTTTTATTAACAGAAGAACTTTTTGCTGATATTGAGCTTCTTTTCCGGCAAACAACAATCGGAGTTGCAGACTTTTGCTTTGCAAGCAATGAATCAGATCTTTCAGGTTCTGGCTTGGGTTGGAGTGAGATTGGAGATGAGTCCAGCGAAGGGTCGCCGTCGGACGAGGAGACTCGCCGCTTCTTGAACTCTTTCAGGAAGAGACGGCGGAGTTCAACGGCGGCGACTGATTCGTCGGAGGCTTTTGGGAAGAAGACGGTGGCGTTGTTGAAGAGGAGTAAAAGGTCCAAGTAGAATCTTGAGGGGAGAGAGGAATATGACCCATCGTCGATCCGGGTTTGCACCGTTTCGAGATCCACGTGTTGTCGTATGAGATTGTTGTACTCGTCTGTTTTCTGCATTAAATCAAAAGTTGATTACAAAATATCACCCTTAACTTTGGATAATTTACAACTCACTCCTTCAAGTTTGAAAATTTTGCAATTAACTCCAATAGTTTTTTTTTAGACAATAAATATTGACAAAAGTCAAACATGTCAAATTCACATAATCTCTATTTTGTTAAAAATATATAATTATTATTACACCTATTTTTTCTCTCGTATCAAATATCTATACTTCNTATTGACAAAAGTCAAACATGTCAAATTCACATAATCTCTATTTTGTTGAAAATATATAATTATTATTACACCTATTTTTTCTCTCGTATCAAATATCTATACTTCCCTCTTTATCCTTGCACCTTTTCAATCTCCCCTACCTCAAATAATTAACTTTCATTCTCTTTTTCCTTCCAAACTCTCTTCCCTATGATGAGACAAAGGTAATTGTTTTTTTTTTTATTTTTTAGTCTTAACTTTTTTGTTTCCTTATTTTTCAAATGACAAAATTAGTATCTCAAGAAAAAAAAATAAAAAATAATGTACAATTAATCCACTTGAAACTNTTTATTTTTTAGTCTTAACTTTTTTGTTTCCTTATTTTTCAAATGACAATATTAGTATCTCAAGAAAAAAAAATAAAAAATAATGTACAATTAATCCACTTGAAACTTAGATGAGGCAAATTATAAATATTTAAAACTACAAGAAACTAATTGCAATAAATGATCTAATTGGAGAGGACATATTATAATTAACCCTTAAATCAAATGTTTGGTGGACTCATCATTTGTGTACCGGGTGCAACCTTAATATCCCAAAATTACTCTTCGTACTTGTAACTTGTTGAAAATTAATGATATTAGAACTTAATTTATTATAATCATTTAATTAGCTTTAAGTTCAGGTATTTAATGAAATTTATTATCAATTCAAGAGTTACAATAAATTAAGTCAAAATATTAAATTTGTAATTATTTATATTATCAATTAAAAATCTATAGTCACAAATTATTTTTCGGATAAAAAGTATGTGCACCAAAATGTTTACNATAAATTAAGTCTGAATAACATTACTCTTTAACATATGACAAATGCACAATTTTTTTTGTATGTTATTATATCATTTTACCTTTATTTATATTATCAATTAAAAATCTATAGTCACAAATTATTTTTCGGATAAAAAGTATGTGCACCAAAATGTTTACTAAATCATCAGCCATTGGATTAGAGATGAGACCGACTAATCTGATGACTACATATGATTTTAGTGTGCATAGAATTACTCTTATTTTTCAATATTTTTTGTTTTTTAAATTCTGATACCAGAACTTTATCCATATGCACCTATCCAGTTTGGACATCATTTGGGTGATAAAGTAGGTAAAGCATGCAATCCATAAGGCATATTACACTCCAAAAAGCACAGACATATGGTATATAAATCCAATAAATTATTGTAAGCTCTCTATGAATTATTGTTACTCATCATTTTATCAAAAAAGTTAATTTATGTATCTGATAAGTTAATATTGTAACAACTTACCATCAGATGTGCACATCATGACCCACCAACGTGTTACTATTGAAATGTCTCAAAATCAATTTCCAGGTGAGATTAACCATCAGTTCATAGCTAATGCCAACTCACACAGAATCACGAAGATGTAAACAAATCTAAAGCCATATACGTATACCATTATTAAAATCCTCTTTATACACCTCTTTTATCTTTTATGTTCATTTGGGTTTTTTGAGAGTTTTAAGTAATAACCGGTATAAGTAAAACAAATAAATCTTCTTGAGCCCACCTCCCTTAGATTTAGAATTAACCCTAAGTAGGTTTGACAGTCAAACGAGCTTAAAAAAAGTTGTTTTCTTAAAAGAGTCTAAAATATTATTCAATCTAAACAAGTTAAACTTGAATAAGTCCAAGTCCAACCCGAACCAAACTCAAGTATTTGCATATAAATAAATCGAGTCTATTAAGTTCGAATCGAATTTATCAAACTCATTTTTTATATAATACTAAACGAACCGAGCTCGAGTAACTATACGACCGAATAGACTTGATTTTTGTGTGTGTGTGAGTGTGTGTGTGTGTTTTGTTGGGGGTGGGGTTGGGGGTGTTAAGCTTCAATAATAATGAAATACTTCTCTAGAACCGTGACTTTATTCCAATGCAAAGTCCCATCTATCGTCACCTGGACAAATCAGGCTCAACTCTGATTCTCCATCATTGTACATTGAACTAGAAAAATAACAACCTCCTCAAGTTTCCTATATGAAGTCAGCTAGTCATGTTAGTACGAGTTTTGCGCCACTGGAATAGAGGATTCGAATTCGTTTGCCCATATTTTTTCGACTAGGTCAAGTTATGAAAAAGAAATTTTCTATGAAGTAGAGTATTAGACTTAACCCAAGTACTGTTATTTAAACTTAATTTTGTTAGTAAATATGCTGATATATTATTTATTTTTTATTTTATTACTGATCTATCGTTATTAATTTTAATATGGTACCCGTGGGTATTAATATAGCTTGAGATAATAAAATCAAGAGGACGACTATAATACCAAATTTGATATTTTACCAAAGTTAGAATTTTTTAAAATCAAATTACAACTTAAAAGAATACAATCGATTACAAAATAATTTTTGTAATTGATTACCAAAAAAAATAAAACTTTTAAATGTTTAGTTATTATCTTTACATATCAAATTACAACTCATAAAAAAAAAATTAAAACTAATTCAAGTAATTCAAAATCGATCATAAATTATCTCAATTAATTATAATTTCAATTTTAAAAATGTATAACTTAATTTTTAAAAATAATAATTTTTAATATATATATATATATATTTTTATATTGTAGTACCATCTTAAAATTAGATCCAAATTACTATTGTTCATAATCGAATCGGGTGAGACCAAATTAATGCAAAGACATAAACAAGATATGCCTGATGGACCCCACATTTTTAGGTCACAATGCTCCTAGCCACGGGTTTCGGATTGCGTAGCGGAAGCTCCAAGTACGTTCAAAGCCACCTAATATATCAACGTGATTTATTGTTCCATTTCTATTTTCCCACGTCTTTTGTCTCCAACTTCCTTCCTCTTTTTTTTTTTGTTTTTTTTTTGAGGTGGTGTTATAGAGTGTCCAAATTTGAATTGACCCACCAATTCAATAACTGATCATTATGAATTAAACTGGGTTAGAGTCTCTATGGACATCGGTGACTAACCCTTAAAGAGGAGTGTGAAAAAAAATTGAACAAGAAACCTCTATATTATCAAAGGTTAAACCCAACCCCTTAGAGAAATGCTATAAACCAAATAAAAAAATTTATCAAATAGTCTTATTTTTCTACAAAAAAAAAATTATAAGGTTATAATATATATTTATTATTAAATTTTGAAATGACAAAAAATAAAAAAACTTTGACATTATTGATGGGTCAAGCTCAAACTGACCCAATTTATTTGAAAAACTCAAACCTTAATTGAAGAGTCCAATCTTATAAAAACTCACTAAACTCAATATTGTCCAGGTCCAGTCTCATCAGTTCGGCTACATCATCAAGAGGAAGAGTGTGGGAACCTTACCTGCACTGCAGAAGGTAACAATTCACCCTCGCCTTACTTGCACCGCAAGAGAAAACGATCCACCCTCACCTTATCTTTGACCACATCTCATGGGGAGCTCCTCAACCACCTCACCCGTTGAGAGGAAGTTGTGAGTTCCACCGAAATAGTTGCTGAGAAGTAGTCCCAACCTGTTAAAGGGGCTACTATAAATTGCACGCGCCACCAACACTTAGGGGCACCACACATCACCTGAGCACTACTCTTTCTCCTCTCCCTCAAAGTTTGTACTATCTGCTCCACACACCCTTGTGTTAATAAAATACCCGACAACCAGAGCCATTGAAGAGTGGACATTATCGAGCTGACCAAACCATTATAAATTGTCTGTTTCTCTCGATCTCCTGATATTAGTTTTCTTGCATTTATTATTCACACTTGACAAGTGGTGTGCAAAACTATTTTGTGCATCATCAATTTGGCGTCGTCTGTGAGAATCGACTAAATTCTCACTTTTAAACACTCCCTCTATTGAACCTATAGCGATCACCACTAGATCCATGAATCAACCTAAGGATAATTCACAAGGAGAAGAAGAGGTTTCTCCACCTACCAACCCTGTAACAAATACTCTAGTTCCAAATCCTCAACAAATGTTAGAGACCATGCAGCAGGTGGTGGTCCAAAACCAATACAACTCATGCTCGCCAGACAAGGAGGAGAGCATAGCTCCCTAAACATCAAGGAACTCCACGCCCTGGACATCAAGGAGTCTCACGCCCTGCTACTCCCCATTTGGGCGCCCATGCAGGTCTAGGCGCCCCACACAGGGGAGCCCATCCTGAGAGACCTCCAGCTCCTCCTCCAACTCCTCTTACTTCCCATGCTGAAGACTCTCATCTCCAAAAAGGTGATGACTAAAACCAAAGCATGAAATATGAGAATCATTTTCATGATCATTCCAGAGGAGCCACCAATCACAGGGACAAGAAAATTAAGGAAGTGCAAAATTAACTGGGTGACGTCTTCAACGCCATGAAAGCGCAGGGACTTGAGACAATAGACTAACCTTCGTAAGGAGGACAGACACGCCTTTCAAACCTGACGTAGCGAACTACCCCCTCTCTCAAAAGTTTAAAATATCATCTGTGGAGACCTTTGATGAAATGAAAGATCCACTTGATCACCTCAAAACCTACAAGACCTTAATGCAAATGCACAACGTCCTAGATGAAATTATGTGTAGGGCATTCCCAACTACCTTGAAGGGATCAGTGCGACAATAATTCACCAAACTCACCCTGGGCTCCATAGGATCCTTTGCCGAATTGAGTAGATCATTTATGGCACAGTTCATTGGTGGATGCCGCCAACAAAAGTAAGGAACTGCAAGGATGCCCAGATGCCCAACGGAGACACTAAGAAGCTTAGCAAAGACTTTCAGGCACCCAAACTGGGTACCCAGGTCAGTCCTGATGCCCAGGCAGCCCTTGACTGCACCTCCAGCTCTTGATGCCCAGGGTGGCGCCCAAGCTACACCTCCAGCTCCTCATGCCCAGGCTGGCGTCCAGGCAACCCCCTGCAGGCGCTCAAGCTGCAACTCTAGCTCTTGATGCCTAGGCTACCACCCATCTGCTCAACATAAAACAGGATCGAGATGAGAGTCTGAAAAGTTATCTCACTTATTTTAACGAGAAGGTCCTCCAAATCGAGGAGCCCAATGACAAAATCACCATGACTACCTTTCTGGGAGGCCTCCACTCATCCAGATTCCTTTTTTTAATAATACAGCGACCACCAAAAAGAATGCTAGAACTATTGGCAAAAGCTCAAAAATATATGAATGCTGAAGAAATCAACAGGTCCAGGCGAGGTAAATCATATCGGGGATCTCCAAAAGTTTGGCCTGCCTCTGCATTGTTCTCAAACAGGCAGCCTCAATATCCAACTTAGCTACTCTCTGTGGGTCGCCAAAAACTTGGCCTCTGCACTGTTCTCAAACAGGCAACCTCAATACCCAACTTAGCTACTATCTCACAGATCGCCAAAAGCTTGGCCTCTGCATTGTTCTCAACACAGGCAGCCTCAATATCTAGCTTAGTGACCCTCTCGCAGGTCCCCAAAAGCTTGGCCTCCGCACTGTTCTCAAACAGGCAACCTCAATATCTAGCTTAGCAACTCTTTCACGGGTAGCCAAAAACTTGACTTCTGCACTGTTGTTAAACAAGCAATCTCAATATCCAGTTTAGCGACTCTCTCGCAAATCGTCCAAAGCTTAGCCTCTACACTGTTCTTAAACAAGGCAGCCCCAGGCTCGCCCAAAGCACCCAAGGCATTCCCCCCAAAACGCCCGAGGCAGCTCCAGGCTCACCCAAGGCGCCCAAACGAGACAACCAAGCAAAGGTATTTGACGTTCAATGCTCGCCCAAATGAGGCAGCCAACACTTGAAAAGGTGTCTAAGTCCCTCTGTTCCCCCAAACGGGAAAGCCCAGCACTGCTTGGCCCTTCAAAATTGCGCAAAACAGCACCTCTAGCACCCAAATCAGCGCCTGTGGCGCTCAGATTAGCTCCTGGAGTGGCATCCAGATCTGCCCCTGCAGGCTGCTGCCCAGCTCTCCCCGCTGCTGTCTGACTCGGTTTCCTGCACCCCCAACTGGAAAAAGGATGTTGTCCAGCGCGCTTGGGCTGTCCAGGACAACAGTGCCGCCTAGGCTGCTGCCCAGCGCTCCTGAGCTGTCCAGGACAACAAAATCAGCGCCCAAGCAGCTGCCCAGCACGCCAGAACTACCCAGAACCGCTTCTTTTTGCTGGCCATTTTACCTATGGAGTCCACCTTTCTTCCTGCATGCACACCCAGGCTGGAAGCCTTGTCAAAAGCATCAAAACCTGCATAAGAGGCACCTGAACCAGCACCAAAAGCAGTGCCTGAAGGCGCTTGCTCGAGCTGCTATGGCGCTCGCGGCAGCGGCTGACCGGGAGTTTTCTCCTCCTCCTCCTCCTCCTCCTTCAACTCTTGCAACTCCAAGGGCCCCAAGACTACCTCTTTTAGCCCCAATCTCACCACTCCTCATGGCACTAATGGAGTTTTCCTATCCCACCTCCTTCAAATCTCCAATACCCACTTCAAAAATTCCACCCAAGAAATACCAACAAAAAAATCTTGAAATACTTCAAGTCTTGCCTCCCTTCTCTCAAATCTCAATGAAATGGAAAAAATCAAGCTCATAAAAATGGGCTCTCAAATTTTTCAAGAGATGGGTGTTCAATCTTAAAGTGAATGAAATAGGTAAGAAAAAATCATATTTATAACCTAGGGTTTTTAAAAGAGGAAAAAGTTCAAATTGAAAATTATTGGCTCTCTTAAAAAACCTAGTAAAAGTGGAAAAAGCTTGAGGCATGCAAATCAAAAATGCATTGTGGAGGAAAAAATGTCATCTAGTAGAAGAAGTATCTACCACTTATAACTCAAGGAACAAGCTAATGCACCCTTCTCCAACTTTCCTTGGACACGAGGCATTGGGGGACAAATGATGAGTCAAGTCCAAAATGACCCAATTTATTTGAAAAACTCAAACCTCAATTGAAAGCCTATTCTTATAAAGACCCACTAAATCTAATACTGTCCAAATCCAGTCTCATCAATTCGACTACATCATCAAGAGAAAGAGTGTGGGGGCCTTATCTGCACTGCAAAAGAAAATGGTTCACCCTCGCCTTACCTGCACCGCAAGAGAAAACGGTTCACCATTGTCTTATCTTTGATCACATTTCATGGAGAGCTCCTCAACCACCTCACCCGTTGAGAGGAAGTCGTGAACTCCACTGAAATAGTTGCTTAGTTGCTGAGAAGTAGTCTCACCCTGTTAAGGGAGCTACTATAAATTGCACGCCCCACCTACACTTGGGGACATCACACATCACCTGAGCACTACTCTCTCCTCTCTCTCAAAGTTTGTATTTTATGTTCTTCATACCCTTGAATTAATAAAATACCCGACAACCAAAACCATTAAAGAGTAGACGTAAATCGAGCTGACCAAACCACTATAAATTACCTGTGTCTCCTCATCTCTTGATATTAATTTTCTTGTATTTATTATTCATACTTGACAGGTAGTGTGCAAAACTATTTTGTATATCATCAATTATCATTTTCAAAAAGATTGTTCATGCTGTTGCATTCACCTAATGGAGTATGTGTGTAACATCAAACATATGGATGCATCCTACAATGCAAAATAGATACAAGGCAGCGGACAAGAAAAACAAGACGTGTGTGGGCGCATAACGAGCAACAACGACAAACATTCTCCCCAAAATTGAAACAAAATAAAATTTAAAAAGAAAAAAAAAAAGAAAAGAAAAACATGTCCCAAACAGAAAATGGTAATGCTACCATAACAAGTAACTAGGATTATCCGTGCAATTCACGGTAAGTGTATATTAAGAGTTCAAATATAATTAAAAAATAAATTAACGATCTCAGCTGTAATTATCCTTTATTATTAAGAGATTTGGATTATATTATTCCTTTTGAACTTTTAATCTAAAATAAAAGTTGGAGCGTATAAGTCAAAATCAAATGTACACGTCATCCACTCATCTCGACCGTTGGATCAGCCACCAAATTTCACATGCAAATTCTCCCTAGACTTAACAATCATTGGTTATCTTCGGTCCAAATTTCTTAAAGGGAATCAACTCAAAAGATTAATTTGATTTGTTGATCAAATTAATTGATCTTAGCTCCCAGTATCATAAATTTTGAATGTACATAATAATCGCTCTCAAACAAGTCAACTGAAATACAAACTTAAAAATTCTTTTTTTTAAGTATTATGGTGAAGAGAATTTAAATCAATTTAGATAAACCTCAATTAATATTTCCAACATTTTTTTCAACATTTAGAACTTTATTCATAAATGAGTTTTTTTTTTTCCACTAGATGGATCAGCCAAATTTTTAGTTTTGCATGTTGAACCATGGTGAGTTTCTTTTAGCGGTCACCATTGATTAACGGTCAAGATGAATCGTATGACATCAATCCAAGGATAGCTATTGAATGATGCACCGTAATCTTAAGAAAATGAGAAGTTGTGGAATATACCTGGCTTTGAAACCGGCGTTCGAAGATCGAGCCGTGTTTGTGCGACCTGATAATATCTAAAACCCAAACGAACGGCTCTGATTTAACCAAAGTTTCTCTTTTCATGGTGGTCTCTCCCGCCACCACTACCGTCTCATCTCCGCCACGACCGCCGTCCCTCTCCCCTTTCCGCCTCCCCTTCCTCGTCAAACTCGCCGAGCTCTGCACGTCACTACTCTCTTTCGTCCCTTCCTTCGACTCAGCCACCGAGTCACCATCAACTTTCTTCTCTTGGCCCGGTCTCCACGTCGAACTATCGTTACACGAGTCCTCACCGGCTCGCTTTGGATCCGAACCCGGATCCGGTGTAACATCACCGGTCTGAACCGTTTCCGGTTCAAGTTTTACTCCAGTATCTCTATTCTGCGTCGAAATGGATTCGTTGAAGGATTGGTTATCTCGGTCGGAATCCTTGCCGGAGACTGACTTTTCATCCGGCGAGTTNGTTACACATTTTCGTGACTTATTCTGTCAAAAATCAATTCATTGACTTTAATAGAATAAACAACAAAAACTAACAAAAAAGACACATTGAAACATTTTTAGTACTCCATTAAATATGTAATATAAAAAATTTAATATTTAAAAGTACATAGTAAAATTTTCCAAAAAATTTGAGTACTAAATACAATTCACCTAAAATATTGAATGTAATTGGTGGTATGATAAATCAATTATGCATAAATATGTTGGACCGGTGAATACCACTAAAGTTTATAATCCCAATTAACTTTTATTATTATAATGTGGGATTAGTAGGGTTTATTTTTTTTTATTATTGGTAAGACGGTGATGACGTAATATAACCATTATATTTTATATTTAATCTTAAAAAATAATAATTAAATAATTCTCGTGATGATAATGTGGTAACCCTTTTACTTGTTTAAATTTTAAAATCTTCTTGGCACATCTATTTCTTATTATTGAATCCCTATATTTTAGTAGATTCTAATATTCTTCCGAAAAAAAAAATTATAATAATGTATCACGAATATAAGGTGATAATTTTGGTCTTAACTTTACATGTTTAAAATCTAAATCATGTATATTGTGTTACCATAACACTATTTTATCTTTTTATATTTAATTTTTTATCAATCTCTTATCAATATTCAATAATATTATATTGATTTAAAAAAATAACACTAAATTTAAGAATGCAACGATGTAGAGGGGTATACTAATACTTTCTTTGTTACGATAAAAAATGAAAATACAAAAAATTTGAGAGATAAATAAAATATTATATTTAAAAATTAAAAAATAAATAAATAAAAAATTAATTATGTGTATTAAAATATATGCTATTTACTAATTTTACACGAGATAGGTCTGGAGCACGCAACTGGTGGACTTTGCCTTGCCTTAGTTTTAAAACTACTGTTTTACCCTTACTTCTTTGGTGAAAATTCCCTTTGTAGTCCATTTGTCCCTTCTTGAGAAGTTATTGAGAAGCGCCGGAAAACAAAATGACGGAACAGCCCTTTCTTTGCTTGTTTTGTCTTGTTTTGGTTGGTAGTAGTAGGACGGAGGAAAGAGGAAAACCTGCTTCATGGCAGAAGTTCTTGACCAAATCCAACACACAAACCATTATGGATTTTCAATGTAATTCAGAGACATAATTGAATTGTAATTATTAAATTAATTATAAATTTTAATATTAGATAAAATTAAGTCTTAATTCAGCAACGATAATTTATGAAATCTCCGGATTAAATTCTAAAATTAGCTCTTGATAACATTTTTCTTTTTGCAAAAATAGAATTTGTGAAGTCCAAGGTAAAAAGAATATAATATATAATACTAACATTATCCCGTGAAAGTTCACGTAATATACCATCTTCTATTTTTCTTTCCTTCCGTTCACTTATCTCCCATTTGTATTACTAATGAATTAATTTAAAAAATTATAGAAAGTTAGAGGAAATAAAAAATAATTTTAAAAAAAAATCAAGTGGCAAAGGGGTGAGTAATGTATAAGAACTTGCCCTTGGGGGAGAACAACATCCGAAAACAGTTATAAATAATTGAACAAAATTTAAATTATTAAAATGTAAGAAAGAAGGCGAAAAACTTCTCCAACCACCTCCTCTTCCTAATTTGTTTATTATATATACTATCATCCTCGACTCTTGTGATGCATGAGATATATATTTCATCTTCTTCTTTTTTTCATCTTTTCTTTTTCTCTTTCACCTTAACATGCATTTTAAGAATTAAAAATTTAGAAAACAGATTGGAAAAACTTATCAAGTCCTCTCCTCCTTAATTTGTTTGATATTTGTTTGACATATATATATATATATCAAACAAATTATGTGTGTGTACATATATTAGCAAAAAATTGTTTGATATATAAAATTTATACATATTTCTCTAATTCCCTCCACTCCTCATCCTCTATTCCCCATCCATATAATTATATTTACTAGTGTAGAGAGAGAATATAAACAAAAATATAGGCTTAATTATAAGAGGACCTAAAAATTTAGAGTGATGATGCACAAAATTGGTTTGCATACCACCTATCAATTAAGTAATATAAAATACAGTAAAATAGGGAGAGAGAAGACCAAGTTTATAACAGTTCGGTCAAGGTGACCTACGTTAACTTGGAATGGCAAGGGTCACTAGAATTTTATTAACTCCGGTGCAATGTGAGAACATGAGATTACAAGCTTTTAGGGAGGAGGAGAGAATTATGCTTAAAATTAGTGAGATGCCCCCCAAGTGTTGGTGAAATTACAATTTATAGTGGCTTAGTGTAGTAATTAAATAGCTAGTTTAATGGTCATAACGGGTTAGAGCCGTTTAATAGTCATAACGGATTGGATTGACTTTAACAGTAACTAAATAGGTTTGCGACCTCTCCTCTCCTTAACGGACGAAGAAGTTATGATACTCTCCAAAGGATTTAGTCAAATAATGATGGAAGGTTAACTCTCTTAAGGCTCCTGGATGCTCTCTTATTTCAAGATGGCGAAGAAACTCTTGTATGACCTTTTATTCCAAGGTAGTAGAGGAGACTCTTAGATAACCCATACTCCAAAGTAATAGAGAAAGCTCTTGGATGAGTTGTTAGACGACCCTGCGTGCTCCTCTATTGACGTAACTCCTTGAAACTAATAAGTTTGACCAAGTGCAAACTCTTTTGGACTTGACTAGTTGGATCTCTTGGTGTTGGGCTCTTTGGCTTGTGACAGGAGTTGTGCCTTTGCGCTTGGCCCATCACATAGAATTGTAAAAAATTAATTATAATTGAGAGGAGTAGTTTGTAATGGTATGGGAAAATTAATAATCAAATTTAAAAATAAAATTTTCATGATTAAATAATGAGGAAAAAATATTTTTCAATTTTTCAATTCTTACTTTATATATAGATTTTACGATTATTTAAAGGTTGAAAATATAATTAGATAAAATTTTACATGAATGATGAATTGAATAGGTGGGCTTCGATTGATTAGTTGTTGCTTCGTTCTGGGCAAAGTTCCACTTTTAGAATAACGAAATATAGAATTTAATTCATCGTTTTTTTTTTAATGGCAACCAAAATGGGAGAAAAAGGCAACCAATAGATAGTGACCCTTCTAAACGTGACTGAAAGGGTCTCCTCTGATATAGAATCTTCTGTCAGCCATAACTATAGACCTCTTTAAAAGAGTCCGTCATCACACAACCACTGAAACTTAAATAACAAGACATGCGACCCCATAAATTGAACTTTCCTTGATAATCACTTAGGAGTTATGGATGATTTTAAAACGGGTATGTTTTTCCACTAGATTAGTAGCTCCGATAATATTTAATTCATCCTTGAATTTTGAAATTTTCCAAGTTTTTTTTTTCGTCCTTTTTATTTTATCGGAAACAAAAATCCAATTGCACTAGCAACTCCTTTTCATTCTTTTTTGGATTCGTGGGCCCGGTAGTCATTTCAATAATATTTTTAGCGGAAAGCCTTTATAGGACAATATTACGTTGAATTCATCCCCGATAATCTATATTACTTTTCAAGGCCGGCGCAATACAGGAGGAAATGAAACAGTGGTTTTAGGCCCATCAATAATAAAGGCCCCAAAATTTAAAAAGTTCACAAATATAGCCAAGTCAATTTTAACCCATTAAAAAGTCCTATATGAAGGTCTAAATCAACAAAAAAACTCTAGACTAATTTTGGGCCCAAAAATTTAATCCATTAATCTCACACAATAACATTTTATGAGAAAAAAAAAAAAGAAAATATGTTTTGTATCAAATTTAGTAATCTTATAGAGTGACATGATGGATCATAACTATGGAATTGATAGTGGGTCTCAACAAATAGTAGGGTTCACTATCTATCTAATAACAAAAAATAATAATGTTGCCAAATAAAGTCACTAAATAAGGTCCATGTAATATGATCTTTTTTTATCATAATCTTAAAAAATCTAATAAAACATATATTCTATGAAAAATCTTTAATTCATAAAAAAATAATTTTATAAGAGTGTCAATAATGAGACAACATAATCTGTCAAATAATATTTATATTTGAATGTTTTGGAATTTTTTGTTTAATTTAAAAATTAAATCAATTAGTTATACTATCAATAAAAAAGATATGTTAGAAAAACTTCAATACGAATACTAAACAATTAATATGCATCAGGTAAAAAAAATTAAATATTAAAAAATTCACATTATTATTGAAAAAAATTTTAAAAAGTCACAATTAAATTTATGACTTTAGGCCTCAAAATATATCGAGTCACCCCTGTTATTTTTAAAAGACTATTAAACAAAAAAAAAACATTTTTTCCGTCATTGTCCTCGAACAATTTTATAAAATCAAATTAGTGCTTAATTAATTACCATCTACCCTTAAATCACTCGGTAATATATATTACTACCACTTAATGGCGTCCAATTANAATGGCAACCAAAATGGGAGAAAAAGGCAACCAATAGATAGTGACCCTTCTAAACGTGACTGAAAGGGTCTCCTCTGATATAGAATCTTCTGTCAGCCATAACTATAGACCTCTTTAAAAGAGTCCGTCATCACACAACCACTGAAACTTAAATAACAAGACATGCGACCCCATAAATTGAACTTTCCTTGATAATCACTTAGGAGTTATGGATGATTTTAAAACGGGTATGTTTTTCCACTAGATTAGTAGCTCCGATAATATTTAATTCATCCTTGAATTTTGAAATTTTCCAAGTTTTTTTTTTCGTCCTTTTTATTTTATCGGAAACAAAAATCCAATTGCACTAGCAACTCCTTTTCATTCTTTTTTGGATTCGTGGGCCCGGTAGTCATTTCAATAATATTTTTAGCGGAAAGCCTTTATAGGACAATATTACGTTGAATTCATCCCCGATAATCTATATTACTTTTCAAGGCCGGCGCAATACAGGAGGAAATGAAACAGTGGTTTTAGGCCCATCAATAATAAAGGCCCCAAAATTTAAAAAGTTCACAAATATAGCCAAGTCAATTTTAACCCATTAAAAAGTCCTATATGAAGGTCTAAATCAACAAAAAAACTCTAGACTAATTTTGGGCCCANTGCGGTGGTGGTGGTGGCAACGACCGTGGTGGTGGTGGTGATAGTGACAATGGTGGTGGTGGTGGCGACAATGGTAGTGGTGGCAACGACAGCGGTGGTGGTAGTGGTGGTGGTGGGGGCAGAAGTAGTGGTAGAACGGTTTCAAACACTATTTTTTTTAATGTATTTATGAGAAATAATTTATAAAAGTATTTTTAAAAAGTTACTTCAAACATACTCTTATGAGTCTATTTTTTCATTAACTTTAAGATGTTAATATTAGCCGTTAAATTAACTTTAAAGCANAGACATAACTTATTTCAATGCAATTATCATATAAATAATAGTATGATAATATGTTTTTCATTTCTTTTTATCCACATCATATAGGTGATAATAAGAGCAAGAAACTCTATAGTTAGATGAGTGCGTGCTAAAAATAAAAGGAGAACATAACAATAAATCTAATGATCAGAATATGTGTAATNCAAAATTTAAAGTGATTTCAACCGCGAATAGCAAAAATCATTTTATTTATCTTTTGAGATTTGAATTGTAAGTTATTTTATTATATAGATATTTGCATTAGATAATGGACCTGACTTATGGGCAAAGTTTTTGGCACAAAAAAAAGAAGAAGCTATAAGTGCCAAAAACTTGGTCAAATTCGACGTGTGTATGTTTCATGTGTGCACAATAAATTTGGTTGGTTGGGTAGAGTGTTTTGGATGGTTCAAACTTGGTGTAAAAGTTCAATAACAGGTTGACTTTTAATTCAAATAAAAAATTATGATTATGGATAAAGAAAATATGGTAGAGCACATATATTTGAATTAGGAAAATAAAAGTTTTAGGAATTTAATTGAAGTTCAAATATATTTTAGGCATAATCGTCAATGGTTTTGATATAATGTTGCATTGTAGATTTTCAGTCCAAAGCAGGGCCTTGTAAATGAGTTACATGATTGTCAGACACTTGGATGGGATTGTGAGGTTTTATGATCTTTCGTAACC